GACAGAAGCCCAAGGCCATGTAGAGGCCCCTGGGGGAGTGTCACAGTCCTGCCTCAATTGCTACCAACCACTTTCTGGGAAAAGAGAAAAATGAGAAAATTAAAGGATACCAAGGACAGGAAACTTCTAACCAAGCAGCATACATACTTTTAATTGCAAAAAGTAAAAATTCCACTACACAAAACCTTAATTTACATCCATTCTTTACCTGGTACAATCTCCCCTAAATTAGTCTATGGCAGTGGTTCTCAACCTTCCTAATTCTGTGACCCTTTTATACAGTTCCTCATGTGGTGACTTCCCAACCATACAATTCTTTTCATTGCTACTTTGTAGCTAATTTTGCTACTGTTATGAATCATAGTATAAACATCTGATATGCAGATGGTCTTAGGTGACCCTGTGAAAACGTTGTCTGACTCCCCACAAAGGGGTCATGACCCACAGGTAGAGAACCACCGCTCAATAGGATGCTGTGGCTAGGACAGGTGAATGCCTCTCTCCTCACATGGCCTAACCCAGAGACAGAGGAGGGGTAAAAGGCCACCATTAGCTCATTTCTGGGGAGAACGATGGGAAGGTGTGGAGGGCAATCGGCCTTGGTGAGACAAGCTTCTTTGGAAATGCCTGTGTCCACCAAGTGCAGCTTGAGGGAGGGACCCTGTGAAGTAAAGATGGCTGCCCAGGAGCACCCCACCCCAGAAGGGCTGTGGTGGAATGAAGTAACGCCTAGTGCAAAGCAGATGTTCTGACTCCCTGATTTGTGTGAAACTCAAAAGGCAGTGGGGTGGGGTCCCCTTCTCTGCAGGGTGCTGGCAGCTGGAACTCTTGGACTAGTGACCACTGCCTGACTGACAGGCACTGAGCGGAGGCGGAAGGGTCCCTGCTTGGTTATGTAACATTCTTTCACCCGGCTGGGCTTCAAGAGTCTGGACATTCCAGTCTCCAGAGGGAGAAAAATGACACATGTATTTAGAACTAATGCTGAAATTATGCAGGGCAAGGAAACCAGACAGCAAGAGGCCTGGACAGCCAACAAGCTGGCTGGAGGGCTTCTCCAGAGCCCAGAACTTGAAGTCACACGGTGCCCAGGCAAGCTGGCTTAGGCACAGTGAGCACTGTCCATCTCCCTGCTATGCTCTTCTGGAGTAAGCTGCAAGGTGTTAGGTGAGGACAGGCTGCCTGCCTAGTCTTGTTTTACATTTGCCACCAGGCTGTCTCCATGAGCGCCTACAGCTCCCTCACAGACACACAGAATTTCTGAAGTACCACGGTGAAGCACATTCCTTAGTCACTGGCCCCCCGGCCCCCCGGCCCCCGACGACCTAGCCTCATATGGGCAAGAAGACGCTGACACTCCCATAGTCACTGTGGAAATGATAGGCTGAGCACATCCAGACCACGGGGACAAAGCTGAGGTCACCTGTGGGGAAGGAATGGGGTGCTGGCTTTCAAAGCAGCAGTTCTGAAACACTGGGGCCTCTGCTGGGTTTTGGAAGAAGGGAACAGAAAACTGAGAACTGAAAAACAAGTGATGCAACTCCAAAGGGACCCACAACTGGAACTGGACTCACATCTGGAAAGGCAGTGATGGGAAAAGGGCTGGGTGCCGTTGTGAGTTTACAAGTGGGGAGGGACACAGAGAGGGTCTTTTATCAAGATGGTGTGGTGAGACTCTTTCCTCCAGTGTGTCTTCCTGAGTGCTTGGGAAGCAAATCCCATCGAGCTGCTATTTTGCTGACCCTCCAGGTCAGTCTTCCACCCCAGTGCCTTAGCCACCCCACTGGCTAAGGCATGCTTTCTGGCAGGAATCACCTGCTGGTAACTTCCTGTTCTAGCCTCAGTTTCTTTCCTTGTAAAATAGGGATCTGCCCACACTTCACAGGACTGTGTGATACGGGTGGCATATGCAACTCGGGATGCACTGAGGCTAGAATGACTTGGGATGTTGTTCCTTTCTGTGAGAAATGAACCGTGTAGCTCCAGCACGTGGGAGGCAGAAACAGGCAGATTTCTGTGAGGTGATGCCAACGTCTATATAGTGAGTGCCAGGCCAGCCAAGGCTGCATAGGGATAGTCTGTCTCAAACCCACCCCCAAATGTGTACTGGATTATACCAAATAGGAGGATTCTAATATCACAAATCCTTTGTTACTCCCTCTCCTCCTTAATAAAATCCAGAGTGGGATGAGGGCAAGCCTGCCTTTTCCACAAACTAGAACAGCTGTGATCTACACTCAAGAGTCCACTGCTTGAGCTCTGGTCACTTGGACTCAAATGCTTCAAACTGGCTCCAAATACTTACCTCCCTGGAGAGCTGATTTCTAGGGCCCAGAGTCCCACAAGAAAATAAACCTAACTCACACAGAGGTCACCATGTCACTGCCTAGTAAACACTTCATACGCTATGGGCAACATGATCTTTTCAGAGCCCCGTGGCTAGTTCGCATTGGCACCTGAGGTGAGATGGTTAGACTGCTCCTGGCACCTTCCCCAATGCCAGCTCCTCTTCTGGCCCACCCTCACCGTCCTTTCTGCACCGCCACACACTGAGAGCCTTTGCTGCTTCTGTCTCCAGGCCTCCAGCTGGCTGGAGAAGGCCCACTGGCAGCCTCAACCCTTCATGCGACTACAGAATTCCTCGAGGTGAGCACATAGAAGCTAAGAGCAGAAAAGTTTCTGGGAATTTCTCCCTAACCTGCACACAGGTCTCTGCAGAGGCATGAACACAAGCCTATATTGCGGAACCACAAAAAGTCTAGGACTTTCCGGCCTTCCCAGGTGCCTCCCAAGGCCAACACAGGCAAGGTTTTCTTAGTTTTCAGTTGGTTGCAGAGTTCTCTTCTAGGCTTGAGGATGTAAACATGGATTCAAACAGGGAAAGAACAAAGGTAACCCTAGACTGAGGCAGGGACTCTGAACTTTACCTCTGAGCCTCCTCTCCAAGGATCAAATCTCAGAAGGTTCTGGAGGCCCAGGACCAGAGTATAACCCAACATGCATCAGGGGAAGAGCTTGGTGGAAGCTCAGAGAAGGCCTCTCATGGTCCTCTGACTGGCAATCTCTGAAAGCCTAACTGCTTAGCACTGTACAAAGATTGGTTTTTCCTCTACTGGTCACACAAAGGGTCCATTCTTTCAGGGAAAGCTCCCCCAGATGCAGTTCCTCCTTTAGCCTAAGGAGGCTCTGAGCCATTCTACCCTGAGTTCTGAAGAATGCTTGTCTTTCACAAACCATCTCAGCCTCCTCTCAGAGACCTTTGGTTAACCCCACTTGTGCTCCCACAGTGGGAGCTTGCTGTTCATGGAATGCAAGGGAATGAGGGCCTGGGAGAAGGTACAGGGCCCTTCCAACGATGCAGAGGACCCCACAGAGGGCCACTATTCCATCACCATGCTGCTCTGACCTATACAGACCTACTGTGATGCCTTCTGACTTCCGCAAACCAGAGGCCACTCAGTTTGGTTTTCCTTCATCTGTGTGAGGCATGACCGATTAATGGTCATGTCAGGGAAGGATCAGTGAGAGGGCAGAGGAAGCTGGGTATAGAGGTACACCCCTTTAATTTCAGTACTGGGGAGGCAGAGACAGGCACATCTCTGTGAGTTCAAGGCCAGTCAGGTCTACATGAGTTTGAGGCTAGCCAGAGCTACACAGTGAGGAACCCTGTCTCAAAACAAAACAAAACAGAAAACAGATGAAGCAAAAAGTGTATTGCTGCCAGGCGGCGGTGACAGGATGACACACACCTTTCATCACAGCACTTGAGAGTCAAAGGCAGGTGGATCTCTGAGTTTGAGGCCAGCCTGGTCTACAGAGTGAGTTTCTATCTGGAAAAAGCATCCTTATTTGCACTGGGAGCAATAAGCACAGCGGATCACTGGTTAGGACAGTCATGTATCCTGACAAAACCAACATCTCACCGTGCTCCCCAGTAGGAAGATGGGATCATGGTAGGGCATGAAGTGAGCGGCACACCAACAGTAAACACTGTGGCTCGGCGCCTCCTCCCCTAACCACATTACATCAGCTTTGAGGCTGCTGAAAAAAATCTCTCTCTACAAAGTCAGGCCTAAAGATCAAACGCAGGGAGATGCCCATCTCCCTCAGGCCAGCTATTCTAACTCATTCCTTCTGAAGGGGGTACTGGCCAGCGAGGGGAGGCTGAGCTTCTGAGAAAACCACCTGCTGGACAGTGGGGGAGAGGCACAGGAACCTCTAAGATTTAGACTGTAACCCAGTCTCCAGTATCCATGGCAAAAACTCCAGGAGCCACGGGTTATGGAAGAAGGACATGTCCCTTCCTCTGTGGGATGCTGACACTGCGCTCAGGGCCTCACACTCAATAGGCAAGCACTCTACAACTGACCTACATCCCTAGAATCTAGGAGGTACTTTTTTGAGTGTGGGGGGCGGGTGAAACAGGGTCTCACTATGTAACCCTTGGCAAACCTGGAACTCACTATGTAAACCAGGCTAGCCTAAAGCTCACAGATATCGGCCTGCCTCCCAAGTCCTGGGATTAAAGGTATGCAAAGGTATGCACCATGCATGATACCTGGTGCTAAGCAGGCACTTTTAAAAATGAAATTCTGGCTATCTGATACTCCCCACACTGGTTCCAAATTCATTCTGCTTGTCAACTGTAGTGATTTTTAAAGTCAACCATGGACTTCCTTATTGTACTGGGTGATGTGGCCAGGGGAAAAGTGGACAAACAGACCCACCTGGTGAAGGGTGTGGCATCAGTACTGACTGCTGGCCCTTCACTGACAAGAAGCCACACCCACACACAGAAGGAGCCACCAACCCATTTCCAACACCTCAGTGTCCAAAGGCCTGGGAGAGGACTGATGTGGACAAAGTCTTGGCAGCAGCTAGGATGCAACCCTCCCTGAGGAATCTAGGGACAGAGATGGAGGGGTAGGCCCTTACCACTGTCGACAGCACAGCTGACATCAGTGCATCCAGAGCAGGTAACTAAGCAACCAACCCAAGGAAAATGTTTCAGTGTTTTTATTCCCCCTCTCCCTCTTTGCAGCCTGGTTTTCGGCTCTTCAAGCAGTTCTTATAGATAGTAGTTTCCTATAGTTCTGAGAGGGTGGTTCCATCGCAGATGACCAAAGGCTGGGCCCCTCTGGCTACAATGTAGACTTTCCAGTGGGGAGCACCGGCATAGCCTGCGAGGAAACAGCAACGGGAAAGCCATGAATGCTGGGGAGGGGCCACTGGGAAGAGCCATGGTCTGCAGTCCTGCTGTGTCTCACCATGAAGGCCTCTGGGCTCTCTGAGGTTCAAGTAAGCATGCCTTGCTATTACTAGATCTCTCTCTCTCTCTGTCTCTGTCTCTGCTATTACTAGTTCTCTGTCACTTGACATTCAAAGAGAGGCTCCAAATGCAGACATTTTCTCCCCACCCTCTTCTGGGCAACTGAATCACATTTTGGCTGGTCACAAGGCAGCCTGTTTTAGATGAGGAAAGCATTAGCCATCAGAGTTTCCAGGCTGATTTTTTTCTTAAGAAAGTAGTCTGTGTGGGTGTGTATGTGACAGGTTCCTGTTACTAGCCTAGGCTGGCCTCAAGCTTGGGATCCTCCTGCCTCAGCCTCTTGAATGCAGGTCTGGATGGGTTCTGTGGGAGCACATGGCTATTCCTAAGATGGTTTTACTTCAACACACACACAGACCGACTTAAATCAGCATTTCCCAACATGGGCTCTGCAAACACTGTCCTGCAGATCTGAAGACAGAGGCTTCCACGGTTCTTCCACAGCTTCTCAGGGTCTGTGCATCCTACACACCATGCATGAAGACAGCGGCTTCCAAAGTCCTAACCCAGGAAGCCTACCCCAGGGCCTTCTCTGGATGTAAGCAGCGATGTGAAGAACCGTGAAGAAACTCAGACCCAGATCATCTGAGTGAGCGGGAAGGGGCCCTGCTGCCCCTCACAGGCCTATCCCGCATGCTAACACTTGGCATAGTGGACCTTGCTAGGGTGTGGGCTACACCTGTACTCAAGCACTTGCAAGGCTGAGGCAGGGAGACTTCAGGATTGAGGCCAGCCAGGGTTACACAATCAGACCCCATCACAAAAGGACCAGCAGTCAGTCAAGCAAATAAATACACAAAAGTAGGAGCTGGAGGTGGCAGCACACGCCTGTAATGCCGGCACGGGAGGAGACTGAGGCAGAAGGACTACTGCAAGTCTGAAGACAGCATGGGCTACCTTGTGATAGCTAGGCTAGCCAGAACTACACAGCAAGACTGTGTCTCAAAAAATTCAAAATAGCACTGGGCAGTGGTGGCGCACGCCTTTAGTCCCAGCACTTGGGAGGCAGAGGCAGGCAAATCTCTGTGAGTTCAAGACTAGCCTGGTCTACAAGAACTAGTTACAGGACAGCCTCCAAAGCCACAGAGAAACCCTGCCTTGAAAACAAACAAAAAAAAAATTCAAAATAGCAAATAAAATCATGTCATGCTAATGCTTTCTTTTAAACTAAGGTAAACAGTCTCAACTGAACAGTCTCTGGGATGTGTGGCTGGTACCCGTCTACACACTGAGTGCACAGAACAGGCACTGACCAATACTTGGTGACTACGAAAAGGCCACATGATCTTGCTGGGACTGTGCCATGACAGTTGGTGTTGTGCCCAACATTGGTCACCCTTGATTATGCCTGCATTTCAGGATTCTTGGTGATCTGTAATTCCTGCCCTCTACCTTCCAGGTTAAAAAAAAAAAAAAAATCATAGCTTGTTACAGTGCCGTTCTTAAGGGTCCTGAGTGGCCACGTTACACTCCCAGTGCTCTTCCTCACCGATAGGTCTGACTCTAGTCCTGACCAGCTGTGGCAGCTGCACCACTGCCTCCATTCCCACTGGCTTCGGGCACCAACCACTCCCCCTACTTCCCCATGCTTGTTCTTTTCCTCAGTACTGGCCCCCTCATCTGTGTCTGCCATGTGGCTAATCATTCAGGCTCTGCCAGCCAGGAGCCTGGTGTCTGTGTTTTAGGTTGCGCTCTCTCTGTCTCTGTCTTTCTCTCTCTCCTACCAAAGCTTCCTTGGCAGCTGCCAGTCACCTCTTCTTTCAAAATTCTGTAACTGGCATTCTGGATGCTTGTGGGAACTGGAAATCTAGAATCTGGAAAATCCACACTGCTTCTGAAGTTGTCTGAACAATGGTATTTGTAGACAAGACAGAGAGACTACTAAGTCTGACCACACATTTCAAACCCCGTTTCCTGAAACAGCCACTCTACTGCAGGAAACAGAGCCTGCAGCTTCCAGCACACATCTCCTTTTAGCTGTAGTCAGAGCAGCTGGGCCCCATCATTACTGGTCAGTTTGTGCTGTACTTACTCCCCACGCCTACACTAAAACAAAGGTTCTCGGGTGTGGAGCAAAGCTTGACACAATGCCAGCTCCTGGCCCTCACTGAGGTGAGTGTTCTAGGCACTCTGGGACTTCTGATGGTTGATGGTAAGAGGACCCAACCGGAAGCTGGCCTCAGCCTGGGAGGGGCTGCAGATCTTGTGAGGCAGCACAAATGGGGCAACAGTGGCATTTGCTGCCACCCTTAAGTCTGCCAAGAGGACTGCTGGCAACTGACTCTGGATTAGACTCTGAAGATACTGGGTAGGAAACAGAGCCAGAATTGAGGTTGGACCATCAATATGCGTTGGGATTTGGCCATGGGATGCACATACAGGTGACACCCATGTGATGGTGGCCCTGCACTTTGTACTGTCTGATTTACAAACCGGATAAAGGTTTCCTCTGACCTTGCCTTGGCTCTGCCCTGGCCTATCTGTGTTGGGCAGAGAGACTCAAGGCTGCGTGACTGTGGGACACTGGGAAGGTCATTTGACTCTCATTTCAACCTCCTCATCTATAAATGATGGATTATCCTACATAACTTGCAGAATCCCTTCTAACCTGGAGCAGTTATGTCTGACAGACGTCACCATCCTCAGTGCCGCTTGAGCACATGTCTCCCTATGCTACTTTACCTGCTCTCTTGTGCTCTAAGCAGAGCACAAGATACTGACTCTGCTAATAAAATGTTACTTTTGATTTAGCTGGAGAGAATTATGTATTTTTGGCTGAGCCATCTCTCCAGCCCAAAGGATAGAACCTTCTTAAAGGCAATGTTTGATGCTTAGAAATATTGTCTCTGTCCTCCTGGGACCTACATACCAATATCCCCAGGCTCTATCGGCATGACCACAGACTGACAGTGTTTTCGGCACTGGAAGGGAGGGATGAGCTGCAACATGGCTTCCCCGCTGCCAACAGTAAACAGGTCATGCACCTTATGCATCTGAAGTAAAGAATGGGTGGAAGAGAAAGAAGAATGAGTGATTAGTGGACAAAATCCTTTACACACAATGGCTTTTTTCTTTCCAGTCTGTCTGTCCTGGAACTCTATGTAGACCAGGCTAGCTTTGATCCACCGGCCTCTGCCTTCCCCAATGCTGGGATTAAAGGTGTGTGCCAAAATGCCTGGCTTTACATACGGCCTTGAGTTTCCTAGCAGGCTGAGCAATGAGGAAAACATGATTTATAACAAATTTCATAATTATGTGTCTAAAACAAACTAGTCTCTCCTAATCATGGTATCTCCTGGTACTGAGATCAGAGTAAAAATCTCTTCTCTGGGTTACTAATGTATTTTAATATTTTTATTTTATTATCTGTAAGCCTATGTGTGGTTACTCTTGGAGGTTAGAAGAGTTAGCCAGAGTCCTTGGAGCTTGAGTCCTAGGAGTTGTGACCTGCCCAGTGGCAGTGCTGGGAACTGAACTTGGGTCTTCTGCAAAAGCAGAAGTCTTCATAACTACCAAGTCTCTCTCCAGCCACCGATGGGTTTCTTCTTAAGAGGAACTGAGTGATTTACTGGGCAACATCCTCAGTGACAGCCCAAGAGTGTCTCCAAGGCTACACAGAGCCATTTCACTGGCACCTAGGGCACAGGAGGCAGCCTCTTGTCTTGTGCTTGCAGGGACCAAGAACTAACACTGGAAGATGCTCTGTCATCTCTGGTCCTGAAGGACTACATGAGACCACAACCAGGTGGGTGCAGCCCTCACTCATAGGCTCAGCAGCTGGGGACCTGCCTCTTCATGCCTAGGATGGAATGGATGACTGAGAGCCTGCCCTACATAACACCTAGGAATGGGAGAGGTAAGGCTATGTAGTGACCAGACTGACCTGGAACACTGGGCCTTGGCTTTATCAGGGCCTAGGGACCAGGAGGATAGCAGGGTGGAGTAGTGAGGCTGGGCTGAAGGGAAGCCTGGGCCAGGGTGGGGATCCACATGCTCTAAGAAACCAGGCTTTCAGGATCCAAGCCTTTGGGGCCACTCCCATCTCCAAACACCCCACAAGATGAATTTGATAACCATTTGAATGGTATTTGCTCTTCTGGCTGGATGCCTTTGTGTTCAGCAAGCTGATGAAATTCACTTCAGTATTCAAGTAGGAAAACTGCGATGAAGTCCCTCGCCAAAATTCTATCATAATTATAAAAATGAAACCCTACTGGGGTCCTGAGTGCTAACCCCATGCCCACACCGCAGGCCTTCCCCACAGGGCAGCCCTCCCTCCTCCACACAGCCTGGGTTCTATAAGCTTTGAAATTCCTGTACCACAGTTCAGCAAGTTTGGAACAAATAAGTAGCATCAGGAGGCTGCAGACACAAACCAGAGCTGGTAGAAGGCCACAGGCGGGAAACCCATGAATCAAATCAATCAGAATTCTGAACCCTTCCTCAGGCATGGGACTCAACAAAAGAGCAATTCAGACAAAAGTGGACAGACCCAGAAGGGCTTCTCTCCATCCACTGGCCCTGACCAGCAGGGAAGGGTAGGTTAAACAGGTCAGCCGATTGCCTTCAAGTATAATTCAAATGTCCCAGGCCCTCAAGTGTTGGCTTTTCCTGTTCTCTGCCCCGACTCTTGTTTGTGGGTAGGGTTTTCAAAGTTCTCCTAAAGTTGGGTTAAAGGATTCTCTCTCAGGTTCCAGTTCCCCATTTACAAAGGACACACTATCAATCTACAGCCCGTCTGCATTCAGACTTGAGGTGGGGATGTTAGACCAACTCCCACTCCCCTAAAGAGGAAAAGCAGCCCAACTGCAGGAACGGTTGATTTCTGGGAATTCGCCTTCAGGCCAGATGCCATCAGTGGTGATCTTCAGTCTCTCCGAGCCTGCATGCAGAGGAGGCCTCCACTGCTCATAAGACCCAAGTCCTGCCAATGGCTCACCTTGCTGCCCACCACAGGTTCCGGGGGGACCAGGAAGCACTTGTTTAAGGAGGCATCTTTTGGGAATGGAAGTTGGCTAAAAACAGGAAAAAGCTCCCGTAAAATCTGTGATCTGTTCAGAGGTCTCCTCCTGAAAAAGTGTGAAACAGAAACATGTCACCAGCCAGTTTAGCTGGCCCATCTGCAGGAGGGACAGAGCGGGGTGGGCAGTAGCAACAGGTACAGATGGCAAAGAACTGGACTGTGCCTTTTTTAACATTAATTTTTTATTTCTGTAGTTGGGCACAGTAGTACACGACTTTAATCCCAGCACTCAGGAGGTAGAGGCAAGTGAATCTATGTGGGTTTGAGATCAGCCTGTTCTACACAGTGAACAGAGCTACAAAGTAGGCCTTGTCTCAATAAATAAATAAAATATACAAGTCTGTGGTGTGAGTATGCTGCATGTGTGCAGGTGCCCATGGAGGCCAGAGAGGGAGTTAATCCCCTGGAGCTAGTTACAGGAAGTTATATGCTGGTGCAGCAAGCACCCCTAGATGCTGTCTCCTCAGACCCTGTTTGGTCTTTCTGGGACAGTCCCACGGGTCCCAGCTGGCCACCTACTCACTTTGCAACTGAGGATAATAACCTTTATCTGATCCTCCTGCCTCCACAGTCCAGTGCTGTGATGACACCATCGTACCCAGCAGGACCGTGTCTCAAGTATTAGATCTCCATGCACAACTGATGAACTGTACCATGCATGGACTCCAGGAGCAGCCCTAGAGGTCGTCATACATATGGGTGGAATGTTAAGTCCCAGATGAAGCAATATACAGACTAAGAAGGCACTCATTCTACCTTGGAAAAGAAGCTGGAGTAAGAGCAGGGACTGGGGACTGAGGAGGGACGGGAAGGGACAAAAGCATGGCTTTCCTTTGAGGCAGCCCTAGCAGCCTGTTAACTGGGCATTCTACCACACAAGACGGTGACAGACGCAAAGGGAGGTGGGCAGCCAGGGTGATGGCTCATCATGTGTAACCCTGGCAACCTGAGCCAACCCTGGGGTCTCATACAGTGGCAGGGGGACCACCCCTGAGAGCTGTCCTCTGACCCCCACAGCTGAGGAGGCCTAGAGGGGCTCAGAGGTTAAGAGTTTGTTCTGTTCTGGCAGAGGACCTGAGTTCACTTCTCAGGACACATGCAGAGTGGCTCACAACCACCTCTAACTCCAGCTCTAGGGGATCCGATCCCTCTGGCCTCAAAAGGGCACTGGCACTCATGGGCACATACTCCCCGCCCTCCACTCACACAACATAAAGTAATAAAAAATAAATCTAGAAGAGTGAACCAAGGCATTTGCTGTCATGGTTGGTGTCGGAGTTTGGTCCCTGGAAGCTTCATGGTAGAAAGAGAGAAATGGCTCCTGAATGTTGTCCTCTGACCTCTATGTACATGCTATAGCACTCAAGTATGTACACACACACACTATTAAAGATTAAGAAAAAAGGTAGGCAGAGGCATTAAGAAATTGTTCAGCAAAGGGGCTGGTGAGATGGCTCAGTGAGTAGAGTCATCTGCTGCCAGGACTGTCAACTTGAGTCTCATCCCAGGACCTGTATGATGGAAGGCGAGAACTGTCTTCTACAAGTTCTCTCACTTCCACACACACGTGATAGCATGAGCATACACACACATGCACACAATAAACAAATGAATGAAATAAAAATTAATGTAAAAAATATTTTAAAAGGAAGTTATCCAACAAAACCTTAAAGTGCAATTTTAATTTTCCTTTGAACCAGTTCTCCATGGAAGCTGGCTCTTCCTTTTCTCAACCAGAGGAAGCCTTAGCCTTAATAGCCCATGTTTTTTTGTAGGACAAAAGGAACTGGAAAGCAAACAGGATTCCATCATGAGTAAGCTTGGCAACTGACTTAACCTGTCTGAATATAATATTCTTACCCACAAATTGGCTGAGAATCCCCGCTGTGCACCTTGGCCATGGATGCAGCTCTATCTGCTAAGCTTTCTCTTTAGCCCTCAACCTCCTGACCTTTCTCTGTTAGAACAAATGTCAAACAGCTGCAATCACATTCATGCTGTTTGAATAAGAACATCCCCCATAGCCTCAGGCATTTGAATACTTGGTCCTCAGGTGTTAGCACTGTTTGGGAGGCTTAGGAAGCTTGGCCTTGCTGGAGGCATCACTTTGAGAGTTTAAGGATTCTGTCAGCTGGGTACAGGTGATGGACTCTTATTCCTCTGGAAATACAAGCCCAAACAAACACTTTGGTCATGGTGTTTTATCACAGCAACAGAAAAGAACCTAATACCTGAGCTTCCGCATGGCAGCATGCTTCCTAAGAGACCCTGTTCCCTTCATCCCCGCGTTGTGTGGCAGGACGACTTGGGCTTCTGTCCTTGACTTGAAGGTGCACTATGAACTGACCACATAAATGGTTCTGGCTCTCACTGCTTTGACACCTGCCCTGCCCCTTCCTCACACACAAGCTAAGCACCTTTCAGACTCACCATGGGTAAGGAAATGGGAACCACCTCTCAGGAAAGCAGCGCCACCACTTGGTGAGAAACCCCTCAGCGAAGCCCTCTGTGGCTTCAGGGTACAGGCATGAGAAATGCTGAATCTCTGAAGACAACAGAGGCTGTCCTGTCTTGGTGACACAGAAAGACAAAGAAGGCCACAGTGAGTTACCACAGCTTCGCAGGGCTTCATCCAGCCTTTTATGGGTGGGCTGTTTATGGGAAAACCTGGCTTCTTGCCTACCTTGATCACCAGAGGACGGAGTCTCTCAAAATTCTTCGGAGTGTCCTCTGGGAGCGTTACTTTGAGGGGTAATGTCTGGGCACAGCCAGTGCAGTTGGCAGGGATGGGCTCTGACTCGTTCTGCTCACAGCCCCTTGATGACCAGAGGTCAAAGTCTGAGAGAGGAAGAGACAGAGGGCAGACAGGTGCAGGACAGCTGGTGAGCCTAGTAGCCCAGGAACAAAAGCAGACAGGAGAGTACCAGTTTCCCTCTGGAGACCTCTGAGAGCAGGTCTGGAGGGTAGGGCTCTGGGAAAGAGAGGCACTTTTCTTCATATGCTTTCCTATACTTTGTGGAAAGAATCTTTTAATGTGTACATACATGTCCTTTACATATATGTCCTCAATCAAATCACTCAGTAGAGCAGAGCAGTTGCAACAAGCATTCAGCCACACAGTTCTCCTGTCTCTAACTTGGACCCAGCCTGTCTGAACATCTCCAGCCCTGGGCAGGCAGTACACAGGTGCTCCCAATCTGAACATCTCCAGCCCAGGGCAGGCAGTACACAGGTGCTCCCAATCTCAACATCTCCAGCCCTGGGCAGGCAGTACACAGGTGCTCCCAATCTGAACATCTCCAGCCCAGGGTGGGCAGTACACAGGTGCCCCCACACCAGGAGGCTCCTGATGCATGCACACACCGGTGTGGCCTTAGACACCCCTCTACCCCTGGTTATTATGCACACATGTAATGGAGGCCAGGACTTTGGAAAGAAAGAGGGAAGTTAGGGCTTACTCTCAAGCAGAAGGGATGGAGGCCTCTCTGGCTATTTTGGAGGACTGCCTCTGCCTGTAAGACTCCATTTCAGCTTGGAAAGGATGTGCTAACTACCAATTGTTGCTTCCAGCCCCAAGGATCGCAGTGTGGTCAGAATGGGAGTCTCACCCAGACCCATGTTAAGTCCCAGCTAGCTTCCTGGCACAACTCCCTGGCTTCTCTGAGGAGGTCCTGTATCCACAACCTTTTTCCCCCACCTCTGACCTATAGCATTATCTTGTTTACTTCCCATTCTATGTTCTCTAAGAGCTGTGTTTGTTTTCAAAATGTTCCATAAGATGATTCTGAGAGATCCTAGAACCAAAAACAGACAAGCAAAGGTGGCCAGGACACAGGCATCTCTTTAAGCCAATGCATGCACTTGGAAGACTGTTCCTCAGTTGAGGCAGCACAGTCCCTCAATCCCAGGCAGAGGCATGTAGATCTCTGAGTTTGAGGCCTGCCTGGTCTACAGAGTTCCAGAATAGCCTGAGCTACACACAGAAATCCTACCTAAAAACACAAAACGAGATAACTGCTCCCCGCAGTCTGTTCCCTGAGACAGACAGGCAGCACACACGGTTTCTCTGAAGGCAGTGGTGGGTGCAGGGGTGCTCACCCTGAGAGACCGCACTGGGCATTCCTTTCCCCTCCATCACCCACCACACACAGCACCTGGCTTCCTGTGGGAGACATCTCCCCTCCCAGGGCTCTCGGTTGCCCCTGAAGGGCCAGCCCTCCAGGGCCCCTGTTTACTCGGTGCATAGGAGGCTGCCAAGTTGGACATTCTTTCCTTCTGGAATATTTCCAATTTTTTTTCAAGACAGGGTTTCTCTGTGTATCCATGTGTTGTTTTTCTTTAATTGTTGCTGCCTTTTAAGCTACAGCTATCCTAGTCAGCAAGAGTCCAAGCCTGAGGGATTCTGTTCCCTAGGCACCAACTCTTTCAAATCTACTGCAGAAACTTACTTAAATCTCTATCCCACTAAAGAACTCAAGATTCAAAGGTTGAGGTAGAATCCTGCTTCCCAGAGAGGCTGAACAGCAAGCAGCTCATCCAGTGCCCCTCCTTATAAACCTCCACCTGGCTCCTCCCCACAACTTCCTGTCAGCCTGTTGCTGACCCAGCCTCCTGACCACAGGTGAAGTTTATTTACTCACACACATCTTTGCATCATTAAACGTTTCAGAGCATAAACAAAAGTAACACACCTTAAAATAATATTCGACATCATCCCTGGCTGTCCTGGAACTAACTCTGTAGACCAGGCTGTCCACAAATTCAGAGATCTGCCTGCCTCTATCACCTGAGTGCTGGGATTAAAGGCGTGCACCACCATCAACCAGCAAGATGTTTCTTTTTTTTTTTTAATTTTTTTTTTTTTTTGAGTCAGGGTTTCTCTGTGGCTTTGGAGGCTGTCCTGGAACTCGCTCTAGGCTGGCCTCAAACTCACAGAGATCCGCATGCCTCTGACTCTGCCTCCTGAGTGTTGGAACTAAAGGCATGCGCCACCACCACCTGGCTAAGATGTTTCTTATTAAAGACAAATATGATTTCTTGTCAAAATACAAGAACTCCCTCCAGATAATGGATACACAAGGAAGCATAAATGAGGAGAAATGAGTGATGAGAAAGAGGCTGTCTCAGCTGGCTGTCACATGGCCTATGCAGAGCTCCCTTTCTCACCTCACAGAACAGACCAAGTCAGTTGCATGAGAAGCTCCCAAGGCGCCTGAGGACAGGGAAGAATAGCAGAGACACTGAGCAGGGATGGAGGGGACAGAGCTACAAGAGATGTGATGAGGGCTTCAAGGCCTTGAAGCTCACCTAGCTCTCCTCCCACAGAACTGTCAGAGGCTTCTGAGCACTGGCTTTCTGACACTTTAGGAAGATTATTCTAGGATGTCCTGGGAGAGGCTGGCAAGAGAAAGGCCTGGTTATACCTGGTTTTATTCTCTCTGGGCACATGGCATTTCTGGTGTCAACCGTGCCCAGGGAACAGCAGCATGGGGGCTCTGCAGCTCTGCCTCAGACTTGTTGGGCAGTAATGTCACTTCATCAGACTCAGTTATGAAGACTTCCGAAAGAGGTCAGAGGAGGGTGCTGGCAGGAAGGGGACTTTCTAATCCATGCAGGTGCCTGGTGGGCGAGGGGCAGCAGCTCTGAACCTTTAACTGTTGAGTTTTTGTTGGGTTTGGTTTGGGGTGCTGGGGAGGAAACTCCCGAAACGAGACGCTGAGCCTGCTAAGCAGTCACTCTACCATGGAGCTGTACCTCTAGGCAGGAACTTGTTAAATTTGATTATGAGGTGATGTCTAGCTGGGGAGGCCTTGACAAGTGAGCATTGAAAGAAAATGAAGAAACATGGGAACCAAGAGAAAACCTGGGGATGCTGCTCCCTAAGTCCAAGCAATACATGTCAGTACTAACAGGAGCTTGACACAGGGGATCAGGGCAGGAGGAGGCCCTACCTCAACATGCGAGTCGTTAGCTTCCTTGCCAGCTGTGAGACTGAGGCAGGAGGATTTTTTTGAGGCTTGTTAAGGTCACATAGGAAGATCTCATCTCAAAAACAAAAGTTAAAAAAAAAAAATCAACAGTTCGTTTACTCTTCTAGCCATGCGATCAGGTGAAGGGGGAAAACAACATGATTCCTAACAAAGAGCAGGACTTTCCAAAGGGGACGGACTAAAGCACCTGCAGAAAGAAGAGTGAGCCACAGCCGAGCATGCTCTGACTCTGACAGAAAACTAGCCATGCATGTGGATGTCACGCAGCACAGACAGAAGCTGCTTGTTTTCTTACCGTGCTCTCAGCTCCTCTGGGCCTGAGCAGTGAAGCCCTGTGGAGGTGACCCAGTAGGTCCCCAGGGAGGCAGCATATGTGAGGGCAGAGGCAGTGTGAGAACTCTGTACTTTCCCCCACTTAGTTTTGCTTTGAATTCAAAATTGCTCTAGAAACTTAAGTTTATTATTATTTTTTAAAGTTCCTCATGTGTGAGCCAGAAGTGTCGTCTAGTTTTCCAAAGTACAAGAAAACTATTCCTTGAACTGTGATACTTCTGCCTCAGCCTCCCAAGTGCTAAGATTATCATCATGTCTGGCTCCAAGATTATATGGTACAGGAATAATAGTATATGATATAAGATACGTGTATATGAACACCCCACATTGTAGTGGCAAAACAAAACATGGAAACTAGCTAAATTATACGATGGTACAAAACCTAAAATCCTTCAAAAGTATAGAATGGGTTGAACCCCAGTCCTGTCCCTCTGGATTTGGAAGCTGTATCTTTGCAGAAATAGTTACGACGGGGTCATAGTGATGTAGAGTGGGTCTTGCATCCAATCTGAATGATGCCGTTACAGGAGGGGACACAGAAAACCACAGGGAGAAGACACCATGTGAAGACAGAGGCAGACAGTGGGTGGAGCCACAAGCAAGCAAAGTCAAAGCTGTCAACAACCAGCAGTAGCAGGAAGGAGTGCCAAGGGCTTTGGACAGAGCACAGTCCTATCAATATTTCATTTCAGGATCCTAGCTCCCAGAATTTCCACATCTGTTGTTTTGAGCCATCCAGGCTGCCATACTTTGTTTTGGCAGCATTAGAAATCAATAGTGTGGGAGGGCTGGAGAGATGGCTCAGTGGTTAAGAGCACTGACTGCTCTTTCAGAGGACCTGGGTTCAATTCCCAGCACCCACATGACAGCTCACAACTGTCTGTAACTCCACTTCCAGGGGACCTGACACCCATGCCAAAGCACCAATGCATATAAGGTAAAAATTAATAAATTAAAAAAATCAATAGTGTGTTTAGGTAACAATATTGTATACATAAAGTTTTTTATGTACATGTGACCCAAGAAGGATCATATATATATTTTTGTGTAAAAAAAAAAAAGTGTTTTTTAGGCCAAGTGTGGTGGTACATGCCTGTGGTAACCCCAGCAACTAGGAGGCTAAGGTAAGACTATCATGAAGGGAGCCAGGTGGTGGTGGTTCACACCTTTAATCTCGGGAGGCAGAGGCAGGTGGTTCAAGGGCAGTCTAGTCTACATGAGGAATTTCAGGTCAACCAAGAAGATACATAGTGAGCCCAGCTAAAAAAAACAAAAACACGGAGAAAAAGGAAAAAAGAAAGGAAAAGAACAATGTTTTAATTGCTTCTCACCCTTTTGGCTAAGATCACATATAAAAATATTTTAAATTTATTTCTTATTATTGCTTATGTGAGTGTGCGTGAGTGGACGTGTCTGCCGCAGAGCACACAGAGGGCAACTCTGTGGAGTCAGCTCTCTTCTCCCACCTTTATGTGGTTCTGGGCTCAAACTCAGGCAAACAGGCTGGCAAGCCAAGCACCTTTACCCTCTGAACTGGTTTGCCAGCCCAGAGCACTTTTCTTTTCTTCTTTTTTTTTTGGGGGGGGGGGGGGTTCGAGACAGGGTTTCTCTGTGGCTTTGGAGGCTGTCCTGGAACTAGCTCTTGTAGACCATGCTGGTCTCAAACTCACAGAGATCTGCCTGCCTCTGCCTCCCTAGTGCTGGTATTAAAGGTGTGCGCCACCAACACCCGGCTCAGAGCACTTTTCTTAAAAACAAACTCTTATATCTCTTTATGAACTTTATATGCATTAGGTATCTTGTAGTCAAAGTCTTTGGAGATCAGGAACACTTAAGCCAGAATTATCAATGGAGACTGAGTCCCCCCCTAAGGCAGCCCTAAGCAGCCCCTGACAAGAGTGGGACAGATGCCAGACTGGCGGCCAACAAAGCCAGCAAATGATGGAGAAGCACCACGAGGACCAGGTAACACAGCTTGCCCAAATGTCACGAGGAAGAGCTACAGTTGCTTCTTACACAGTCCTAGATCACGGAGGAGGAATGGCCGGCCGTGGATTATGGTGGTGATGGGGCATGGAGGTGCAGGCTCGTCACCCCACAGAATCCCAACAGCACAAAGATGTATGTAGTCAGATTCTAGCTGGCCCACCATCTCTCTACAAAGGTTTTATCTGATGTGCTCTCTGTATCAGTGGCAGGAATTGCCATGTCAGTGGGAAAACACCACCAGCAGCAGCAACAGCAGCAGCCAGGGCACCAGGCCACCCTGGCTCAGAACCTTCCTTCAGTTCCTAAAAAACTGCTTTCCATTCTTCCCAGACTCTGTTCCCATCCACTTTGTCCCCAGCAGCAAGGGAAAGGCCATCTGAGATGGCAGGCACTCAGAGACTGCCCATTTTTCCCTAATTCCCAGAACTCTCTATTCCAGGCACCCTCCTCCAATGACCAGTTACCTCAGAAAACAAAACCAAGTGTGACTGAGAAGGGAACACCTTTGAGCCAGCTCTCAGGTACAGTCACAGACCTCAGCCCACCTACTTTCTGCAGAGTACCCAACCTCAAAATAAAGATGGCATGTGCCCACCCTCAGGATGTCTTCATCACGGTTCTCCTACTTGGTTTTTTGCACTAGAAATGTGCTCAATAACCCTCATGACCTGTATTCCAAGTTCTCCCCAGGGTCTGGATCATTCCGCTGTTCAAAATGTCAAAAATCAGTGTTTCAGACCAAACACAGCTTTGAAGTGTGTGTTCAGAAACCCTACCCTCTCACCCTTTCTCACAGAAGGGCACTCTGCAGAAGAGTGGGTGGGTTGACTTACCATCAGGAAACTGACTCAGGCTGGCTGCGTGTGGACGGCCATGGCACAGCCTAGTATTCTCAGTAGGGAAGGCCTTCAACACACATTATTAACCTGGCAGAGAGCAAGATTAAATCCCTTTCTGGGTAAAAGGGCACTGAAGAAAATAAAAGCAGGAAGCTTTTGCTCTGCAGGCAGAGGCTGTAGGACCTGTCTATGGGGTTCAGTGCTCGCTCAGCTGAGGAACAGCGCAGTGCATACATGAAGGAGGGGGTGCTTCTGATGTCTCAGACCCTTTACCTGGGGAAGGACATCAAATGAGGCACAGACAGACAGAAACCTCAGAAGAATGATGACACGAACAGCCCTGCCTGTGACGCCTCCTCATGGTCCCCATAGACTTTGTATTCTAGCAATGCTCAGAAGAGCCTGCAGAACCCTGGCAAAGGCTCCTCACACTTACGGTGTGCTCACTATTAGTCAGACTCTGGCAGGTTCCTGTTTCATGGAGCCCCTTGCAGCACCCTGAGCACGTGCTGGACTGAAGCCTGTCCATGAAGGTGGCCTTTGCAAGATGCCCTACATTGGAGGCAGCATGCCCAGAGCCATTTTCACAAAGTGGGAATGGACACGTGCCCTTTTGCCAATCACTTTACTTCAGGAGCACTGCACTCTAACAGAGTCCCTGTCCTTGTGAGTTCTCACGGAGGATGTTTCTCTCCAGCTTTAGGCAAGCAAGCCAGTCCCCATCACAGTACTTTCCTCATTCTGAGGTGGGCACGAAGACCTGTGTGAGTCTGCAAGTTGAGAAGTGAACACCAAGTTCACGCCCAGTACCCCGTGCCCAGCAGGTGCTTATCAGAGCTCTTACCACAGATGAGCTTATTTACAAGAAAAAGAGGAAGGCAGGGCTGGGGCAGCTCAGGGGAACTTGCTGAGCACCCATAGGGTTCCTGGCTCAATCTCTAGTGCCACAGATCCAAGTGCTTCACAGCTGGGCTGTGGCAAGACTCTAGCCTTATTCATTTCTTCATTCTGAAGCAATGAAGGGCCTGCCAATTCCCTAACTCAATGACACTGTATCCATGTCCTCCTTCCTTACTCATGAGTAGAGACCCAGCTTCCCCACATAAGAGCCAGCCCAGGTCTTCACAGTGTGAATGTGTAGGTTTTTTTTTTTTTTTTGCTTTTTTAAGATATATTTATTATGTACAGTGTTCTGTCTGCATGTATGCATGAAGGCCAGAAGAGGGCACGAGCTCTCATTATAGATGGTTGTGAGCCACCATGTGGTTACTCGGAATTGATCTCAGGTCCTCTGGACGAGCAGACAGTGCTCTTAACCTCCGAGCCACCTCTCCGGCTCCGTAAATGTGTATTTTGACTGAAAACTGTCCACTGAGTTTAATTCAGGTTGCACACTGGAGCATGGACACCAGTAGTTATCCCACTGAAGAAAATGCTTCCCTACCAGCAACGGTTAAGTGCCATAGCTCCTCAGGGAGGGTGGGGTTTCATGAGCCCCTCCTCATTTATGATGGAATGACGCTGGCTCCGTCTTGTGCAGCAGACACAAGTGTCTTTAATGTGAATGTTTTCAGTAACATCCAAGTGCTTACATGTCAGCAATATGTGGGAGAAACTGTCAATCTGTGTGAGTGTGCATAACTTTTCAAATAGAATTGTTAACTGTGGTACCAGAAATTTGGTATTCAACTGTATGGCAATAAATAAACATGGAATTTTCAGTCAGTTTAAAAATCAGTCCCCACAAACAAAACAATCATGGCAAAGAGTTCTTATCATGCTTGCTCCCTTCCTCTGGTTTTGATATAATTTGGAAATCTTTTCATAATTTCCTCAAATATACACAGCTACCTTTCAAAGGCAACCAGCCTAAGAGGTGATTTTTATGACTGATAAAGTCAGGCCTTAACGAGTGACATAATGATTTTATAAAAGTCAGTTTAAACCAGTAAAGTTTTTTTTACCCAAAACATTATCCTGGATTCTAAAGATTTCAGAAGAAAGTTATAAAAATGTATCACACACAAAACAACAACAACAAAAAAAACAAAAAAATAAAAAGCTGGCCAGTAGTGGTTCACACCTTTAATCCTAGCACTTGGGAGGCAGAGGCGGATCTCTGAGTTTGAGGCCAGCCTGGTCTACAGAGTGAGTTCCAGGACAGCCAGAGCTGTTATACAGAGAAACTCTGTTTCATCCCCCCAAACAAACAAACAAACAAACAAACACAACAACCAGGGCTTGGGCAGGTTGGCAAGATGGATCAGTGGGTACAGCACTTGTCAGGCATGCTTGACACCTCAAGTTCAATCCTCAGAACCCAATCAAAAGGAGAGAACCAACTCCTGAAAGCTGTCCTCTGTCCTCCACAATTCTGAGGACTGTGGCACACATGCCTGCGTGCACATGCGTGCACACACACATGCACACCGTACACACAATACTAATAAATCATTGTTTTTCAAAATTTTAAGGGGGGTTGGGTGTATAGCTCAGACTGTCCAAACCTAACCTAGACTGTCCAAAGCCCTCAGTTTATCTTCAGCATGGAGGAGGAGACAGAGAAGGGAGGAGAGAAGACAGGACTCAGTTCCCCAGAATTTCTCTAAGCAATATCCTTCTATTCTTCCTTAAAAAGTAAGTCTGAGGTGATCCCACACTACACTATTTTCAAAAGGAGGCTCCTCTCGAGTCTACAAAATGAGGAGTCCCTGCTGCTGCATCACTGTTAAGGCGTCTCTTGAACTCGCTCTGCTGGCACAGCTGCCACACTCTGGAGCACGGCATTAATGTAGTGGTTTCCTGCGGCAGTGAGAAAGAGCGAGGGGAGAGAGACAACGGCCCAGCAGGATCACAGCGGCGAGGACCTCTGGTTAGAGCATCCACTCAAGGCAGAGACCCCATGGAGAAGGCCCTACAGAGACGGGAGGCCCTTCTGTGGACACCCATCCCTTACAGGGTGTCCTGACTAGTATTAGTCAATTTGAACCTGGCTCTACCAGACATGTTTCTTTAACTTTTCCAAGCCTCAGTTTTCCTATCTGCAAAATATGGATAATACAACTCGTCCCACAGTCTTAGCAGGGTTCGATGAAGTAAGACAATATTGGGAAGATGTCTCTTATTAGATCCCAATAAATCCCTTACCATCAAGGAAACTGGATTTCAGGTTGTGCACAGTGGCTCATGCCTGTAATCTTAGCACTGGTGGGTCTGAGGCCAGCTTGAGACACAAATCAAGTTCTAGGGTAGGCTCAGCAACATGAGACTACCTCAAACAAAACAAGTCAAACACCCATCTCCTAAGCAGTAAGTGCAGCCTTCTACCTGTGAAACGTTTGTCTTCCTCTCCTCCTTGCAGAGGAGTGCCCTTATTCTCTGGCATGTACTTCTTGGCAATGGGCAAGGACATCAGCCGAATGTGATGGATGAAGGAGCGCCAAGTGTGAGCTCCCGAAAGCACTGGCTCGGGTGCTAAGGAGCTAAAAGGCTGAATTACAAAGTAGGCAGTGAACAAGATTAATCCCAGAGTTAGGAGGACCTAGAAGGAAAGACAAGAGTGACATTAAGAATTGCCCCAACAAGAAAGTTCCCTAACACTGAGGAGAAAAACAAGCCTCTTCCGCTACGTCCAGTGCACCTAGAACTAATCCATTCTCATAAACGAGCCATTTGATTGCACCTCCAAAAGCATTTAGAGCTCAAGATCTATGAGGCCTGCACGACTCCCCAAGCTTCCATCCCAAGACCAGGGGCTCCTCTACCACACACACACAGCTTTCACAAGTTCCAGCCGAACCACAGTTCCACTTCCTAGTAACAGACAGAAGAGCAGTGGCTTGTTTATGCTAGAAAAGCTTAGTTCAGTACTGGGACCCGTCAGCAGTAGGGAAGGGAGCTGTAGCACCCGACACAGGCGTGGCCCGTCCAGCCGCACTTTACCTTATACACAGCTAAGAGGAGAGGGTACTGGGGTGGCCCCCTCTGAGGTTCATTCTTTTCCAGTAGCTGTCTGATAAATTTTTCGATTGCCTTTTCTGACATGCCACACTGATGGCCTGTCTGTCTCACCAGATCGACAGTCTCTGAAAGCTTGTCATAGATGCTGATCTCATTAGCAGCAAGATCCATGTCTTCCAAAACGAAATCCCTGAGAGGACAAAGAAAGGTGAGTCTTTCTTTCTTCCTTCCTTCCTTGCTTTCTTCTTTTGAGACAGGTTTTCTCTGAGTATCCTGGAAATGGCTCTGTAGAGCAGGCTGGCCTCAAACTCACAGAGATCCCCCTGCCTCTGCTTCCCCAGTGTTGGGATTAAAGGATGTGTACCACCACCAGGCAAATGACTATTTCTTTAAAATTCTTTCTGCTCAAGGCTACTTCCTTTCAACAATGTTTCTTGATCATCTGAGACAACAGATTTTGTTTTTACTCCCAAACCACACTAGTTCTATCAAACACAATGAGCATATACAATGTCAAACTGTTGTATGTGCAACACTTTTCAGATTTCTGTTTTGAGACCTTATCTTGCTATGTCGCTCAGGGTGTTAGAGTTCTCGGGCTTGAGTGATTTTCTTGATCCAATCTCTCCAATGCTGAGATTACAGTCTCAGACAGGCCACTGCATCCAGTTAGGCATGGGTCATAAAATGTCATTTAACTGGGCTGAGGAGTGGTCACACACACCTTTAATCCCAGCATTTGGGAGGCAGTGGGAAGTAGATCTGTGTGAGTTCCAAGCCAGCCTGATCCACAGAGTTCCAGTCCATAGTTAGACCCAGACTCAAAAAGTTTTTTAAAAAATATGTTTAGCGTTTTTTTCATATAGGTGAAACAGTGCTTAGCGCCCCCCCCCCAAAAAGCAGAAGGTCCTCTTACTTGCCTACTTTAATCTCAAAGTGCTTCTACCCTTGAAAAGCTCTGACACAGAGCCTGTGGGGTCTTCAGTAAGAAGATGCTGTAGAGTAGGTCAACAGTCAAGCAGCTCCACAGGGAAGCAGTGGCCTCCTGACTGTCACCGCTCAGGGCACAAGAGTGCAGCTCCTCTTCCTGAAATGGGGCTCCTGTCTCTCATGGGCATCTTCTGTTTGGTCTCCTTTCTGTCTACACACTTGGTCCACAACTCTGAACACAGCCTGCACATCGGAATCACCTAGAGATTTTTCAAGATTGCTCTACCCTGCCCCTCTTGCATGCTGCTCTGGTCATGCTACCCCAGCAGACAGGAGTCCAGGGTGAGTTCATGAAGCTCTATTCCTCACCATATCTGACTTTGAAACACAGCCACCCCAGGGGATGGGACGTGGAGGCTCACTGTGTTTTGATCTATATTTCTCTGAAGGGTGGTGATGCCGAGCATCTTCTCAGGTGCTTACAGGCCATTTAGAGTCCCCTTCTGTAGGAATGACTGCCTCATGCACATTTCTATTGGGCTGGGTCATTATTAGTCTGTAGGAATTCCCAATATGCTCTGTCCTGGACAGCAGGCCCTTGTCAGACACTGCAAACATTCCCTTCAGACATCTAAGCTCACCTTATTCCTGCTGGCAGTACTAGGGTTGAACCAAAGGCTCAGCTCCATTTCTTTTTCCTTCTTTCTTCCTATATTTTTAAAATGTTTACTTATTTATTAAGAAAAAGGTCTCACGTAGCCCAACCTGGCCACAGACGATGTGCAGCAAAGGCCTTGCTTTGGTGTGCACTACCACACCTAAGGTTCTATTTGACTTCCTTTTTGTACCTTTTCTCTCTTTTTTTAAGCTATGTATGTGTGTATGAGTGCAGGTACGTGCACACGTGTGCAGGTGACTGTAGAGAGAAAAGGTTAGCATTGCACTAACTGGGTGCTAGGTACTTGGATTCTCTGTAAGAGCCCGCCTCCCACCCCAACTCCACTCTCTTGATGGCATCTTTTAAACTCTGCAAAATCAACTTCTCCCTCTGCCATTTGTGCTTCTGCATCACACGGAAGGAAACAGCGCATCGCTCAGTCTCACTGAGGTTTTCTTAGTTTTTAAAGGTTATTTTATGGAAATGGGTATATGGCTGCATACCCTATGTGTGCATGGTACACTTGGAGGCCAGAGGATGGTATCAAATCCCCCGGTATGGGAGTTATAGACAGTTGTGAGCCACCATGTGGTTGCTGGGAATGGAACCCATGTCCTCTGGAAGAGCAGCCAGTGCTCTTAACCACTGAGCCATCTCTCCAGCTACACAAACGCTTCTCTTTATGTTTTCTTCTAAGAGTTTTATTAATTATTATTTTGCTTTTTTTTTAGTAAAAGATTTTATTTATTTATTATGTATATAGCATTCTGCTTCCATGTATATCTGCACACCAGAAGAGGGCACCAGATCTCATAACGGATGGTTGTGAGCCACCATGTGGTTGCTGGGAATTGAACTCAGGACCTCTGGAAGAGCAGTCAGTGCTCTTCACCTCTGAGCCATCTCTCCAGCCCTATTATTTTGCTTTTGTTTTGAGACAGGGTTTCTTTGTATAGCCTTGGCTGTTCTATAACCAGCTCTGTAGACCAGGCTGGCCTCAAACTCACAAAGATCCACCTGCCTCAGCCTCCTGAGTACTGGGATTAAAGGTGTGCGTCACCATTGCCCAGCTCTAAGAGTTTTATACTTTTAGCTTATACATTTAGTTTTTTGAACCACCTTAAATTTATTTATGAGTGATGTAAAGAAGGATACAACTTCACTTTCTTATAATGGATATCCTGTTGGTCAACTACCACTACTTGAAGACTCGTGTGTGTGTGTGTGTGTGTGTGTGTGTGTGTGTGTGTGTGTGTGTGTGTGTGTGTGTGCGCGCGCGCGTGTGTGCGTGTTGCAAGGCTGGAGGCTGAACCCAAGGCCTCACATATGCTAGGCAAGCACTCCACCACTGAGTGTTTTTACTTAGTGCATAGAAGTCTGAAGCAGGAGGGTTAAGATTTCAAGGTCAACCTGGGCTTGGCTGCTCATCAAACTCCAGAGCAGCCTGGGCTATAGAGAGAAACCCTCTTTTATTGTGTATTTGTTTTTAAAGGAATACACATGTACCATGTCACTAAGTTTTGAAGTTAGAATCATTTGGGGAATGAAGTGTGTGAAATAAGAGCTGAAAACAATCAGTAAACTACTAATGGGGATGTGATATTTTATAGGACAGGCACTGTGGGAAAACAGCTATCAGTTTTAAAGTTAGACAATGAGTTAACATGTCATACAACAATTCTACTCAAAACATATGTCTACACCAATACTGGAAGACAAATGTTAGCAGTGGCATTATTCCTAACAGTCCTAAAATAGAAGCAATCCAATGATGTAATGAATGCAGGAACAAAACGTGATAAATCCACTAATGAAATATCACAGGAAAATAAAAAGTGATGGTGTCCTAATGCAAGCTATGTGACCCAGCCTCGCAAACACTGTGCTGAGGGGAAGACAACCACAAAGACCCCCGAAAGCAGGTGAGTCTACAGTATAAAAAAGGAGACTAATGCTTGCCTAGAGGAAAAGAGTGGAGAGAACAGGGAATAATTATTGGGCAGTGTTAGGGACTTTTCTCTAGAGTAACAAAATGTCTTCATCTTAATCATCAATGTCGGTCATACAAATTGTGAGCATAAACTATGCTTTCCAAGAGGGTGAACTTGGTGACAAATTGTATCTTAATAAAGGGCTAGTGTATGTTTATGAATTTTAACTTACCCTGTTGTGGCATTTATTATTGTACACTGTGTTCCATCTCCTCCTCTAAAGTCTATGAGGGCAGGGCACACACGGTACATATCCTCACCAGAGGTCAATGTCTGGTGCATACAATAAAGATTTGCATATACTAGGTGACAAAGAGAGTGATAAACTGGCTGAGAGTCGGCAAAACCAATCATAAGAGGATTCTTTTAGAAGTCTATGGGTCTGGGGGATGTGGCTTAGTTGGCAGAGTGCTTGCCTAGCATTCGTGAGGCCATTAGTACTGAGTAAACATGGGCATGGGGATCAGGAGTTCATCCTCAGTTCACAGAATGTCTAGGCTGGCTTATACAGCCCTGGCAGGCCTAGAACTCACAGAGATCCTCCTGTCTCTGCCTGGGCTCAAAGGCATGTATCAGGGCTGGAGTGATGGCTTCGTGGTTAAAAGAAGTGGATTTTCCTTCAGTGGACCTGGGTTTGATTCATAGCACCCGCAGTGGCTCACAACTATCGGCAGCTCCCTTCCCAGGGAATCTGATGTCCTGTCTGGCCTTTGAGGACACTGCAAGCATATAGGGCACAGACACACATGCAGGCTAAACACCCACACACACTAAAACATGAACTATTTGAAAAATAAAGTTGTTTTAAAAGCATCCATCACCATGTCCAGCCCTCCAATAGAGAATCCCTAACCGATGTGTCCCTAACTATTAACTACTTGTTAGTGTGTGCAGAATAGAACAAGTCACCCAGTTGAACGCTTTGACTTCTGGGTGAAGGAAAGACACATCTGAAGCCAGCCAGCTGCACCTGAGCTTCATCTGGCCCTCACTTCTTCCATGAAGCCACTCTTGATGAGCAATCAGGAGGGACTATAAAAGCACCGCACCAAGAGCCACTCCAACGACAAACCAAACAAATGAAGATTAGTGTTTCCAAGGCAGGCGCTGGTGGCCCAAACCTTGTGATCCTAGCACAGTGGGAGGGGTTGGGAAGCTGAGGATGGACTCAGTGGGCAGAGCACCTGCTCACTCGCGCAAAGCCCTGGTTCCAGTACTGTAAGAAACAGCATTTGGCAGGTACAGGCAAGAGGATCAGAAGTCCAAGGTATTCTGGCTACAAAGCAAGTTCAAGGCCAGCCTGAAATACATTACCCCCCTCCCCAAACAACAAAAAAAGGAGACATTTTCAAAGAACGATAATTAGGTGATCTCTGTGATTGTAAAAACCCCACTGCTACTCTTATAGAGCATCACTGGGCACAAAAGGAATGAGCACTGTGAAGGAAAGACAGTCATGGTGCACGCACCACAGCACTCGGTGACTGCTCCAGGGAAAAGGTGAGGGCCGTGTGGGTGCGGGCGTGTGTGTGTGTGTGTGTGTGTGTGGTGTGGTGTGGTGTGGTGTGGTGTGGTGTGTGTGCGTGGTGCAGAGCAGCTGTGGCAAGAACA